TAGCCATGCCCTGACTTAGATCAGCCCAGAGGTTGTTTCAGGGTTTGATCTGTGAGTTAGCCGTGTCCTGACTTAGATCAGCCCAGAGGTTGTTTCAAGGTTCAATCTGTGAGTTAGCCGTGCCCTGACTTAGATCAGCCCAGAGGTTGTTTCAGGGTTCTAACTGTGAGTTAGCCATGCCCTGACTTAGATCAGCCCAGAGGTTGTTTCAGGGTTCGATCTGTGAGTTAGCCTTGCCCTGACTTAGATCAGCCCTGACATTGTTTTATGGTTTGAACTGTGATTTTAGCCATGCCCTGGCTTGAAGCACCCCTTCCCCTTCAAACTTACCTCTTGAATATTTTGTAACCACTGAGAAATATGTGTGAAAGAGTCTTCAGTCRTGATATCATAGACCAGTACTATACCCTGAAGAGAGAGACAACAAACAATAATGTTACATAAATTAAACTATGAGCATGTCAATTAAATAGGGTTAAATTGTATTAAAGGAATGAGAATGACTTGAACCTTCAAATGTTATATTAATACCATGAATTATATAGAATTAAAACTTTGGGCTGATCAAATTAAACTCAGCTTACAATTATATCAACTCACAAATTGAACCCTGAAACAACCTCTGGGCTGATCAAAGTCAGGGCAATAGACTAAATCACAAATTGAACCCTGAAACAACCTCTGGGCTGATCTAAGTCAGGGTATGGCTAACTCRCAGATTGAGCCATGAAACAATCTCTGCTGGGCTTATCAAAGTCAGGGCATGACTAACTCAAAAATTGAATATAACTGAAACAACCTCTTCAATGGCTGATCTAAGTCAGGGCATGGCTAAATCACAGATTGAACCCTGAAACAACCTCTGGGCTGATCTAAGTCAGGGCATGGCTAACTTACAGATCAAACCCTGTAACAATTACCTCTGGGCTGATCTAAGTCAGGGCATAACTAGCATATTGCATTGGAATTCAGAGATACTCTTACAGCCCATTACCTATAAGCCAAAATAAATAAAAAATAGGTTCTAACCAGGATCATTAATATTTTGTCTCTATGTAGTATAATTTGCCTGTTATATATTACTCACCATTGCACCTCGATAATATGCATTTGTTAGAGTTCTAAATCTCTCCTGTCCAGCGGTGTCCCTGTTGGACAATAATCAGTTAACGATAGACCTCTTGCCCTTATGGTTTATGAATCAATAGCCCATTCAACCTTCAGCCTCATGGGCTATTGACTTTTAGAATATGAGGGCAAGAGGGCCGATTGTTTTAGTATAAACCTACTAATAAATGAGTCTAATAAATGGTAATAAAAATTGAAATTTAGATAATAAAAAACTTATTCTTTGCATTGTTTTGGTTTTCAAAACTGGCCATTTGGCTACTAGTGGTCTACCACTAATAGACCACTAGTAGCTCAGCCAATCAGAGTACAGCATTTTTGATAGACCATAAGTAGGTTTATTCTAAGAATCAATAGAAAAGCAGTACTGTTAGCATTTTGCTGTTTCGAGATCTGGGTCTTCAACACAATGTGTAGTTCCAGCACATATCCATACCCCACCATGGAGAGAATTTGTAAAAGGACCCCCCTACCCACAGAAACTTTCAATTTTCTTCCATACAAACTCTGTAATTTTGTTCTTTCTTGACCCCCCTTCCCTCCAAAATTTCCAATGTCCTCCGTGGGTGGGGTATGGATATTTTCGGGAAGACTACATAATATTTTTCACCCCTTCTTACCATATCTGCAACCTAACTTTTTGTCCATCAAGATCAACAACTTTACTGCGACAGTCAATTCCTGACAAATAAATAATAGAGTATGTTTCAAGTTTCAAGTTTCAAGTTTCAAGTTTATT